AATAGCTTCCTTGGCAGTTTTCGAAAGACTCTCTGCTTTTTTTGCAAGGAAGGCTTGACAGAGGGGACAAAACTGTATTTCGCCAAGGCAGGAATGATGGAAAGAATGTGAACAGCCCTCAAATATTTTCCCAGACAGATCTTCATTTATGTTGCACCCTGGTAAAACACATCGTCTGCTTTGGTCTGGAATGGTGCTGGTGCAGTATCCCAGAGGTAAGACTTTAATCTTGACAGGCTCATCTCCAAATATCTTGGGTAACAACGCTTTTGTAGTTTTGCCTTGAGTAGAGATTTTTGCTTTCCCTGGGTTCTTGGCTATTCCTGTAAATATGTTTGCAAGGATGTTTGCACATTTGGCCTTCAGACTTGAGGTTATTAAGTGACCACTACGGTTTCTTGGGTTGGGTGAAGTGTTCTTTGAAGTGCTGCTGTTCCATTTTTGACTGAAACACAACTTTCGCTTTCTTCTGTATTTGTTCAGCTGTGTCATGGATGTTGGTTTTAGAACGTATGATACTATGAGTGTTTTCTACAGGATACTCATCAAAGATAACCAAATTTGTCAGAAGCAGTTTATATAAGGCAGGATGGTGCATGCCCCAGTAAGAGCACATAGAAAGCCAAACTAGTGGGGCCTTATTGTAATGATGTCTCTTAAGACAAACAAACATCACCCATATCCTGATCATTGCATTCAGATACTTTTGAAAGTTATTTTGTTTGTAAGTAACACTGTAGATGGAAAGGACAAGTGGTAGATAATTGTCGATCAAATTCAAAAGAGTTCTGTATTCCAAGTCCTTGCAAAAACAAAATTTGCTCTTAACACTGTCCCTGATAAAAAGCCATCCAGAGTAGACCACTTCAAGTATCAGACTGATTCTCCAGGGCTTAGGATTCTTTGCCAATTTGCTTTTTGGAAAGAGATTATTATAGACAGTCTCAAAAAATTGCCGATAATCCTGAAACACAGTTTCTCTTCCATTTAAGGAGATGTGAAGGGGTCCAATACATGGAATTATGGAAAGAATTCCTGGTTGCCCAGATGTACTAACGTTCATTTGTTGTTGTATGGGTCCAGAAGAGCAGACTCTTGCATATGAATGATCTGTGGGACACACTTGAGGATTATCAAAGACATGAGATGGGCAGCAAAATTTCTGAAGGGTTTCGTAAATGACTTGTCTGGAGTAGAACTGAGCAGGCCAGTCACCAGGTTGAGGAATAAGAAATAACTTGAGATATTCAGAAAGTTTGGTACTCAGTACAAGGTCAAATGCAGCATCAAAGTCATTTTTGCTTTTAAGTGTTAATTGTAAAAAGTTAACAAGGTGTACATTGTCCATTTGTCTCATAGTCTGAACAGACTCATGGTGGCAGTATTCATGAGCAGTTGCCCTGTGTCTTTCAAATTCGGGATTGAAAAAGGTGTCAGTTATCCAAGGAGGCATCAGGGATGAATATGTTAGACTTAATTTATGCATAGTAGATGGCCCAGAGACTGTGTTTATACAGGAAGTAACATTGAGACCAGAAGGATTATGATAAGTTGAGACATGACAGGCAGGTATGGCTGGAACATTTTTGAAAAGTTTGATGATGATAGTACAAAAGAAATTGGCATTAGTGAGTTCCTCGTCTTGTGGTCGTCTTATTGAGTGAATGGTTGTGTAGTCATCTACAATTAATACCAGTTGGCACTTGTTTATAATAACTTCTACCACCACTCCGTCAATTTTTTTGCCTGCATTCTGGCTCATTGTGTTCATAAGGCTGCACACTTTACTCCTACTACAAGCTCCTCCCATCACTTGCTCTGTCCGCAGCCAGTTACACACTTGGCTGAGGCCATAACGTAGCTTGTAGAGGATTGTGACAGTCCTTTTTCGATTTAAGGCAATTCGCTCTGTTGGAGGTCTCTCATCGGTCATTGCTGACAAAATAAAATTAAATATAGTATTGGCTCCAGCCCTAGTGCAGAGTGCTTCAATTCATCTGGATCATATATCGGAGGCTTCTTATGGAACTCTTTGTACATAGTTTCTTTTAAACACTGTAACTCCCTTGAGAGGTCGCACCCTGCAAGTCATCCAGTGAATGTAAGAGTAAATAAAAAGTGATTGCCTATCTAGTAACCTGTATTACAGTTTTTTAGGCTTTTTTTCCGACTATCTGTTTGCTGGCCTCTTACTCAGACGTTTTGCCTTCTGTGCATGTCTAGTCTACCTGTGTGTGTGTGTGTTTGTCTGTCTGTCTGTCTGGGAAAATGACAGAATGGGATTTTGCTTACTTTTTGAAAGCATTTTCATCCTTTCATCTACTTCATCAAACAAGTCCGGGGGAATAGCACCCGACCATATGGCCCTCTTAAAATCTGCCCAAAGCGTGTTTTATCCACTTGCCATGTAGACAACGATAATGTCTCCTCTGCTGTTTGAGTGCCTGCGTTGGATGCCATTTCCATTTTCCTTTGTGGTCGTATTTTTGACTTTTTTGGGCGCCCGGCTTTTGCGCACTTCGAACCCAGTCGCTGAAATTGGCAATGATATTTTTTTTAATATTTGTGTTTCTTTCCCTTTTCAAAACAAAGGAAATTGAAAGTGTCTACTTACATCAACAAACGTTTCGGCACTTTTTTTAGCCTTTGCTGATGTCAGCGCAATCCTACAAGCGTTACATACACGCGCGCTGTTATCTAGGTCAAGTGGGAAGATGAAATTGGATAGTATCTCGTGGTAGATTGAAGCCGGTCTACTTTGTTTTGTTGAGACCATGTTAATGTTTTTTTTTACAAACAACACATTTTATTAAATTACGCGCACATTGGCCAAGACCAACGAGAAATATAATCGCCAAGATAACCTTAAGACGCGCCATTTTGATGAAGGCAGAACCTGTGGTGAGCCTCCATGCCAATCGTTTGTTCAGAGTAGTAAGATAGGCTACACTAGGTCCTAACCAATCAGAGCGCAGCAAAATTTTTTTTAACCAATCAGAATCGAGTATTTAGCCCATGTGACTTATTGACGTCACAAATGCCCATATTTGGGCATGAATGTTCACGTGACCCCATGGAGTAAAGAACACGCACACACAAATGTTAGATCCACCTAGTTCACCTGATTTTAATGACCGCGTACAACCTGGTAACAAGTGGGACGCATGCGCAGATCAGTCCCAGGCTTTTTCCCCTGCGCAGTCACGTGAATGGGATCGTAGGCACATGCGCAGACCGCCCAACGACTCCCCAGGTCCACCGCATTCATAGGAGCTAATGTCCGCCTAGGCCTACAGCGCATGCGCAAACACTCAAACGAAGCCCCAGTCCCTCGCATCACCCGAAGTCAATGAAAAAACACTCTGTATGGAAGTCAACATCATTTAATACAAAAACAAGTCTCGACAGTGCCCTAAGTTACATACGGGACGTGTGTGACGTCCCATTGACGTCACGCCCATTGTTTTTTACATTAATACACATAATGAAGATAAGGTGTTTGCTTCCTGGCAGCAGATGTCATTAACAAAGGATGAGGCCATCGAATGTAGTGGTTGAAAGTTGACCTTGACCATGGTTTGACTAAATGGAATTCAAACATAGAAAAGAGGTCTGAAACGAAAGGAAATGACATCACACTCCTTTCTTTACATTACGAAGAAAGGGTATTTGCTTTCTGGCTGAAGGAGTCATGAGCAATGGATTAGGCCATGGAATGTAGTGTTTGAATCCTATCAATGACCACGGTTTGAGTAAATGAAAACGTAAATTGAATGGGTGGCTGAAACGAATCAGAAGGAGGGTGGTTAGAGCCAAGAAGCAAACTGAATAAGAAAAAGTCGACCATTGCCACGCACGAGACGGTGGTTTACTATCCAATGATTGACTGGAAAACAAAAAAGACTTTATTACAAAATGGGACGTGTGTAACGCCCTTGTGGTGTCACGCCCTGGAAAGATTGTATACAAAACAATTCTATTAAAATCCAGTCTTGGTTAAAATTAAAATGTTCTAGGATCCAATACGTTTCTGGGAAAAAAATTAACGTCTTAGTTTGAACAAATGGAGTAAGCTGGCCCGTCCTTGATAATTGATGATACAAAGTTTGTGAGGGATGATGCTTTTGAAAATCATCACCACTTGGATAATCCAATGGGAATCTAATTAAAAAAATATTCATGAACATCCAGCAGGGGTTGCGCCACCATGCAGACCTCCCCCTGCCGGGTGTTCAAAATTCCCAATCCATGCTCTCCATCATAGCACAGCCCCGACAGGGTTCATGGAGAGTGGACACGTGCCGTAAATAAATCCAACACCGTTTACATACAAAATACAATCTCCCCGTCAGATTTTGGAGGGACCTCGAATGTTGGTCTATCACCTGGGCAATGGCTGAAAAAGGAAAGGGAGATAAATGGCTCGTATGACAAAACGAGAATCTGAAAAAGGAAAAAAAAAAATGTTTTTAAGGAAGGGATGGGTAGCCCATGCCTTGCAACATCTCACACCAATAACAGGGCACGTGTAAGTCGCCAGCAAAACGAAAGTTCAAATAACAACGACAACAGAGTAATTTAATGGGTCTCGGAAATGGAAGAGAGACCCCTGATCCAGTGTACCACTGCACGATACTGTCGAGGAAACACCATGCAGCGGAGGTACCATGAACCCTGTGGGTGCTGAGAATGGTATGCGAATCTACAAAGAAATTAATTAATAATAATAATGCTGTAAGCTCATGAGTAAGTAATTGATATCGTCTCGGAGCCGGTGATTGTTCTTGAGGAAGAAATGCGTGCCTAGAAAGCAGTGTGATTGCAGAATTGAATGAGTTGTTGAACACTATGAATATGGCATCGATGTTGCAAGGCAAGGATCCACCCCCATTGGTTAATAGTAGAAGTCACATCTGAAACGTTTCATGAAGACTGATTACACGTCGAACAGTACTATAATGACATCGCAATTGCACGGGTCTAATCCAACCTCCATACTG